AATGAGATCAATCCTTGTTCCACCATCGATGAAGAATTTCTCGATTTCGCTCTTGAATTCTGCCGTCACGTGAGGTGGTAGATCAACGTCCAGCAAACAAACCAGGTCTGCCAGAAGCGCTTCCTTGTTTATTTCCAGATCCGCCTTTGGTTATGGAAAACGATACAACACGGACATAATTAATTATAGGAATGGTGTTACATGTAAGTACTGATTTAATCGCTCAGCTAACGCCCATTAAGTTTCTAGTTAACTTGACTTTATCTGTATTACATCCCCAATAAGTTAGCTTTGAGTTCCATCCATAGAGAGCCACAAAGATAACGTTGTGATACTCCTATGGTATATCCACTTCCACATCCTATGGAATGCGGATGTGTTGATATAGTGATGGAAAAGAAAAGGAAAATTAAAAAAAAAACATACGCATTATATTACCTTCATTATTTCTGGAACAGACTGTATATCCATTTCGTCAAAATTCAAGTCACTAGGATCTGTCAGAGCCTTGTATGCCTTTCCAAATCTCACCCATTTTTCTAATTTGGCCTTGTTTTGTTGAAGCGTACCTCTATTGCACCTCAGAGCCTCGTTTTCAATAAGATTAAAGGCGGAACCAAGAGCAGCACCAGGATCTTTTTCTATAAGTGCACCTACGAAGCCTGTTACTCCCTGGAGTATTGCGAAGAAATGCTCCATATTTTTTTGAGCTTGTAACTCAACCAGTGTCGCCTTTAGCGTCTCCAAAGTGCTGCTCATGCGGTTTTCTACCTGAGCGATGGACTAATCGGGTACAGGAGAGAGTAAACAAAGGCAAGGTAAGCTTCTTGATAAAAATGCGTTCAGTATCATTTGAAATCTCCAAAAAAAAAATTGAGTGGTGAGCATCAAATCAATAAACGTACAAAAAAAGGAGATAATTTAAAAGTGAAAATGAATAATGAATCAATTGACTTGCTGATCGATAGTTTGGATGAATCAATAAAGTAATTGACGAATGAATGAAAGGAAAAATAAATTAAACAGAATGTTTTAGGACCAAATGAATAAATATATCATTGAAAGAATAAATGAATAAATGAATGAATGAATGGACAAATGAATGGACAAATGAATGGACAAATGAATGGACAAATGAATGAATGAATCAAAAAAAGAAAAAAATTGTTAATTAACGAAAGTATAAATGAGTTGCTAGAGAATTTCAATTTTAATGAAACGAATAGGGATGGTAAAATGGAAAAAGAAAAGGAATTAGTTCTAGAATAAATCTGAAAAAAGGCTGTTTTAATACCAAGGAGCAGGTGTAATCCCCGAGTAAATGTTCAAGTTTCAAGGTCAAAAACCAAAAATTACGCAATACGGTTTTAAAATGTCAGTTTCACAAACTTATTACCTTACCTCTACATAAAGCCTCTTTTCGCTTTCATCGACTGCCCTTGCCGTTTTTAGTCGTTTTATTTGATTGCCGACCTGTATTCTGGCTGCCTTAGGTGCTAAGTCCTTCAGTATGTCCGTAATATCTTCTTGTTGTTTAATTGATCTTTGAATCCTATTAAAAGCGTCTTGGTATTCCTTGGCATACTTTTCGATGTCTTCAGCGTTCTCTTTTAAGCGTTCCCATTTCATCAGCGGGGCAAACAATTTATTATTTCCAAATCTGTCGAATCCTTCTTTGTCTAGAAAACCTAGCCTTCGTTCTGCGTCTACAGATATACAAGAAACATTAGCGCCGTTGTATTGAGATATTTGTTCTCCTTCAGCTCGTCTCTGAAACAATACTCTGAGGAATATAAGAAAGGTTAAATAGCTCCATTTGAAAACTCACCTTTTCTCATGGCTTGTATACCCTTTCTTCCTTCCATTAAAGTTATTAAGAACCTCAGCACACTCTTGCCTTCCTCGATATCATTTGCCCAAATGCGATCCTCGGCATATCTTTTCATCAACTTTAACAATGCTAAGGGGTATTTACTTCTTGCATTTTCAGAGAGGCGAGATGTACGAAGATAGGAATCATCTATTTGACCGTCCGTGCCAGGATCCGTTGGAGCTGAAAGTACAGATATCAATCAAAGCAAGGTTACTTATGAAGATGAAATTTGCAGTGATATGGTAGCTTAGAACTTAGTTCTTAGACTCAGGGTCGATAGGTCCGGGGGAGTTCTCTATTTGGGTCATTGTTTTGTGTTGCTGTGCAGGAGATTTACTCAGGGCTTCTCTCCACTGAGGAATACAGATGGTTATTGCTGAACTATAGAGGAAACCTGCCGAAATGTATGCCGTGTGATGGGCACCGTGATGGACTGGCATTTCGTTTAAACGCTATAAAAACCAGCAGCAGAATTGTTCCTCTTACTCGCAAACCTTCTCTACGCTACCATGGGCGTAGACTGGACACCAACGATGAACGTGAAAACCGATAAGTTTTCCAATTTGGTCGTATTATACCTTCTCGTCATTGTTAAATCATTTCCCTGCGAAATATTTTCTATCGTGATTATTATTCTTTCATATGGGCATGCAAACTAGCTTTCTAAGCCTCGCTTTTGAGTTAAAAAATTACTAAAAAAATAAAAGAAATTGGTGCTGCCATTTTCAAAAGGGTCCTCTCAAGGTGGTTCATATATACTCAACTTGTTCCGTCTTTTCCATTATCTCCTCTTGCTCCTCTACTTGCTCTACCCGTGGCACCATCATTTCTACACGAAGTGTGACAGGAGGGGTTCATAGGGTCGAACAGATTAGGTGAACATGACTCCCTCATTGCACATTTAAACCCTTTTCCTCCTAAACTCCCGAGACCCCCTGAGGAGAAGATCAAAGTGAAATTATGGTGAAGTCGTAAATATTATTTTCGGAATCTAATTAGAATATACAGTGATTGTGGTAAAGCCAACGATCCTGTGAATTCAAGAAACAGAATACATCCGTCATTCCATCAATAATCCTCCCGAACTCAATTGATCCGCTACAATTTGCAATCGGTTCTCCTCCTTGAATGAGTTGCATGCTCTTCCCCGGACTCCCGAGGCCACGAAATTTTGTACATCGATTCGCCACATAACTCGTTCCATCGCCTCACAGATCTACGACTGACATGAATTAAAAGACAATGTAAGTTCTTTGTCACGAGTTGGCAAACAGAAAACGTTTGAGCTCCCCCCGAGAAATCAAATCTCGGATCATCTGAAAGGAACTGTTAGTTGAAGTACAAGCTGGTGTTACACGGGATCCA